CAGGTGCAAATGAGCCCAGGCACCGTTTTAAATTATTGAAAAAGAATACTTTTATCTTAAAGGGTAATTCAAGACACCACAATTTTTTAGATCTAAACCTGAATCGCGTATCCATTAAACCGAATACGTCGAGTGCACCAAAAAATATAGATCCAATTTAAGCAAGTCTTAGTGTATGTTAGCTACACATAGGCAATGTATATGAGTAAATGCAAAATAGTTGGCATATCCAACTAAAATTTGACGACCGGGTAGTGCCTGTGCAACGTCAGGCAAAAAGGAACGGATGTAGTAAATCCCGGCCAACATATGCAAGCTTCAATTATGTAGCTTTTGTTCTTCTTGATATTCGTTCTGGGTATTTGGAACATGATTCTGCGGCAGGAGGTAACACCGTCACTAGCCGCGGCCGCATCTAATCTCGCAGGGAGATCGATGACCTCCCAGAACGCATCATGGCCTGTTAGTCCCATGCATACAAGAAAGATGTCTATCATTCTTCATCCAAAAAGAGAGACAGGGGTGTCCTGGCGCCGCGCGTGCCAGCCACTGCCCGTAAATATTCTCCACAAATCGATATATCTCACGTACGCCGGTGAATATATGGTATGTCTCGGATCGATGCGAGCACAAAAGAATCGAATTGATTCACAGGTTTCTACGCAAACTGCATGGCAAGGCCATATTCAGTGCCGACCTTAAACCGCCCATATATATTCAGATCATATTGTGTCATTCAATGTGAGTCTATATCGGCCTGCCGACTGGTCCAAACACATTTCTCCTTCGCAAAACGGACACAAATTTGGGAGGCTTCGTCGGAGTCCGGTCAGCAGACATGTAGAACTCCTACACCACCGGGCCACCCGAAAACCCCTCTCGCTTCCATTTTTTTCAATCCGGCCCTGCGATCCTTATTTTGCATCGGCACCCTCCATCTCTGATGTCGCCGTTGTACCTATCCGGCAGGCACACAGTCATTGCCGGACCTCCGCAACCAGCACCGACGCACCCGCTCGCATTTTACGGCGGCGGCGTCCACCCAGGACACTTCCTAGGCAGGGACACTCTGCCCCCCTTCGACGTCGTCCATGACGGTCACCACGCCCGGTAGGTGTTCAACTAAATGCCATTAAGCTTATTTTCGAATGTCATGTCATTTTTATAAAGTACGGAGGATGGCGGGATACTCTACCATGAAGGATGAGTTGTTGTGCAACGCGTGGTTGGACATATCCGTGGGTTTCATAGGCAGGAGCATAAGGGATGCCTTCTAGCATCAAGTGCATGAATCGTTTCATGCGCGAAAGCACATTACGCCCTATGATATGCACATCATTCATGATCACAATGTGAGGTTGTTATCCTATTAATGGTACGATCCAGACCATTGTCACCAAGTTTTGTGACTCGATTGATATGCTGGAGGCAAGGTGACCATTGCGCACGACAAATGAGGAGATTGTAAGGCCATGCTTGGATCCAAGGGACTATTTTTAGTCTGACTAAAACTAGTCTTTTTAGAGGCTAAAGTTCCAATCACCCCTGACTAAAGAGAGGCTAGAACTAGTCTTGAGACTAAAAATTTTTAGTCAAGGGAACCCTACTAAAATGTGGATTAGTCCTCTCTCTCCTCATTTAACTCCTCTTCTTTAACACATGCGAGTTCAGGATTGGAGGGTTTGGAGGATAATAAATGCTCATTAACTCATTTTAGTCTATTTAGTATTTGTATCCAAGCATGGGTGAGACTACCAAGTTTTAGTCCCACTACTTTTAGTCATGAGACTAAAACGTATCCAAGCACCCTCTAAGTTTTGCTTCTTCTTGATCAAATTGTCGATTGATTGATTCATTCATCCAGTGTTGCTCTACACATTGTGTAGCCCGCGCGCGCTGCCGTGATGTATCACAAAATGGAGGGACGGCCATTTATGCACATGCACTGTTGTATGAAGCTGAAGAGACAGTATGTGTGGGCGACAGAATTCGTTAATCTCATTGAATTTGAACTATTGATATACTAGACTTGTTTGCGTGCTATGTATGGATGATTTGTGCTATTTTCTATCCAAACTACGATGAAATCCTCTATGTTTACATGAATTTTGTCCGGTTAATTGAAATCCAGTTTGAAATGCCAGAGCAGATTTACGGGTCGGAGATGCGCTGACACAAGTCAGGGGAGGCCATGAAACTTCGCGGTAAAATTTGAGTATATGTTGGATGGACATTGTCTTTTCTTTTTAGTTTTTGCCGGTGGACATTGTCAGTTTACTGGTTTTTTTGAAGTATACTCGTCGCAGCTGGAGATTTAAAGATGTGTGTGTCCACGTTAGGATCAAAGAAAATCATCTTTAGAAAATTGGTAGGATCAAATAAAAAAGCAAGATTTTCTCAATAATTAAATAAATAAGCACAACTTTTTATTTCAATGATATTGATTTCATGATCCATCTAACGATATTGATTTCGTATTATAAATGGTAATGTTACTTCTGTATGTTGGTCAAATATTACGAAGTTTGACTCAAACAAAACTTATATGCAAAAATAAAAATGAAAATGAAGGAGTAATTGTCTTCCTCCTTTTTTACAAAAAGACAACTCCAATATAAAAGTTTATCGTACGTACAAAGCACCTCAAACATAATATAAATTATATATCATGATTATTGGAGTAACTGTAATTTTCATGTTTGTATGACTTGATATTAATTCAGGGAAAATAATTGTCTCCAAGAGAAGGGGTCAAATGGAAATGAGGTGCTCCTATGACCTTTTCATTTTCTCTTTAATATGTAGCACTAGCTGTGTGGCTGCGACTATCTTTTGTGTCGTAAAAGAAGCAAAACTTTATTGCAATTATTCTCCTTACACTCCATATCGATTTGGCGATCTGATCCATGCTTATCCGAGCAGGGTCTGAAGGCATAATCTATGACGCACAACTTCTATAGGACCCATGCATGTAAACTTTTCAATTTCTATATAGCTGTACCCTTTGCTCAATGCGTTTGTATTTTTCTTTTTTTGAGACCAATGCGTTGGTTTTTGATTGTAAGATAATCACCCCAAAACAAACAAACCCTGTAAGGCTGTAACCCACTCGTGCAACACGTTGGAGCACGCTGTATTTTTTTTTTTGCACGTGGGAGTACACCATATGTGTGTGTATTCCATCCAAACTGCAATGACCTCACTGGCCTCGATATTTAGCGAGCTGATATTTATTATATTAAAAAAATTACACGCTGTTCATGCCAAACAAGCGCCGAAACGTGCAAATGCCGGGCCTACGAAAATAGGAACGCCGTAACGACATTCCAAGAAAACTGTTCGGTGCCAAACCAGCACCCCATACACGTTTTTGCTTGCTGGCCGTTGTAGAACGCGCCACATTCTGTTACATGAGGAGAAGGCTGGTCATAGTGGAAGTAACATAGATAGTAACATAGATGCCACATAAGCAAAATTGGTGATATGACAAGTAGTTAATGAGGAGAGAGGCAAATAGAGTAACATAATATGTTACCATCACATAGCGGTTTCCAATGCATAATGAGTCTACAAAGTAATAAATGAAGGCAACTATGTTAGCACATCTATGACACTACCCACTATGAAAGTAGTAACATAGACTAGTAACATATGTATGTTACTAATCTAAGTTACTCTCCACTATGACCAGCCGAAGAAGAAAAAATGCACCACACGACGGACGCCTAGCTAGGAAACGCTATTTCGAGCAAAATGATACTAGTCGTAGTAGTAACTACTTTTTTTTTGCGGAAAGTCGTAATAACTACTTTGTGCTAGCTACTCCCTCCGTTTCTAAGTATTTGTCTTTTTAGATATTCTAAATGGATTACCACATACGGATGTATATGGATATATTTTAGACTGTAGATTCACTCATTTTTCTTCGTATATAGTCATTTGTTGAAATCTCTAGAAAGATAAATATTTAGAAATGGAGGGAGTAATAAACGGCTCGATTTAGTGACTTTTGTATATATTATTTAATTTAATGAAAATACCGTAGAACTATTGATCTGCTGTCACGGTTAAAAAAAGGTAAACTGCTCGATAGAGTTTAGTTTGAGACCCAAGTGGTTGACGACATTGAAGAAAAAAGAGTTTGATAGTTTTTTATATACTCATAGCCGCCTGTGGTGGCTGCTACCGCTGCGAACTGCTTTTTTCTTTCTGCGGGCAAAACTGTTCTTCAAACGTACTATACTTGTTAGTCCGCTACGTGTATCGATAGACCAAATGAAATGAAGAGTCTAATATTACTCCCTCCCTTCATTTTTGTAAGCTATTTCAGACAATTTGAAACGGACTGTTTTACACATTGTCTGAAATGTTTTTAAGGTCTTATAAAAATAAATGGAGGAAGTACGCCATCTTGTAAAATAATTGTTTTCCTTTGTGTATAACAAAAAAATATATTTGGAGATGATGTGTCGAAGTCTCGAAGGTGTCATTTTCCAAATGCGGCCGGAGAGGCAGAAGGGATGAACCGAAAGAAAGGAAAACTACTAGAGAGGACGACGACCAACGCGTGAAGTTAAAATGGTAAATTTTAAAGAAAATCAAAGCTGCTAGCCTGTGAAAACTCCAGTGCCAAAGATTACTACTCCCTTCGTTCGGAATTACTTGTCTCAAAAATGGATGTATCTAGAACTAAAATACATCTAGATACATCCATTTTTGCGACAAATAATTCCGAACGGAGGGAGTACACGCGACGGGAACTCGGGGCGGGTCGCGCCGTTGGCGTGGGCGGGCCGCAGCCTGGCTCGAACTCGAACAGCCCGGACGCAAGCGGCGGGGGTATAAATAGCCCGCCCACGCCCCACCATTCCTTCCACCGCAAATCAACCGCCCCGACCCGATTAACCCTACCTTCCGCTCGATTCCACTCCCCTTCCCTCCTCTTCTCCCCCCCGCCCGCTCCTCGGGTTAGGAGCCAGCAGCGGAGCACCGAGACAGCAATGGCGGCCGCGCTGAGGAGGGCCGTCGCGCAGCGCTTCGCGGCGGCGCCGCAGCAGGCCTACGGGACGCCCCGCCGCTTCATGCAGGAGCGCCCCGCCTTCCGCCCCGCCGTGCCCCCGGACGTGGGATTCATGCCCCTCGCCGACCGGATCCGCGACCACCTCGGCGTCTCCTTCCCGCGCATCAACCTCGACGGCCTCGTACCCCCCGCCCCGGCCCGGCCCCAGCCACCACCAACGAGGGAGGCCGCCGCGGTCGTGGGCAGCCTCACGGTGGAGGAGGCGCGGAAGGTGCTGCGCGCCACGCAGATGGAGGCGGCGCGCGCGCGGGTGCGGGCCTCCCGCGAGGGCACCGTGCCCTACGCGGAGTACCTGCGCCTCTGCTGCGACGCCGCGGGCGCCGACGACGGGCCCTCCGTCGCGCGCGCGCTCGACGAGTCCGGATCCGTCATCGTGCTCGGCAGGACTGTCTTCCTCAGGCCCGAAATGGTACGGCCCTCCCCTCCTCCCCCTCCCCGCCTCCCATTTCGCCGCTTCAAATCAAATCAATGACCTGTATAAATGTTGCTTGATCCCTCCCAACCTTTTTGGTCTAGTTTTGCCTTGCAGTTAGCGTCTTTTACAGACAAAAAAAAGACACGCTGTTGGTTCCTCTGTTCTGCTCTCTTCTCATGTTCTACTGTTCATTTTAATCCGGGTGACCGGGTACGGATTTCACAAGGCTAGAGATCTGACGAGATTTTTCGCGTGTTTTGCATGTTTCTCCCAACAGGAAATGAACCAAAGAAACGGCGGTGTTCTAAAACAATAGAGCAGTTGTGACACCAAAAGTTTGGGGGATTTTACTTGCCCCCCGTCCGTTCCGTTCCGTTCCAAGATGGGAGTTTCCTTTCTTCTCTCAAAACCAGAAGGAAAACAACAAATCTAATTCCTACCCCTCGATCTAAATCTGAGGAGGGAAGAAACTAAACGACAGTTTTGCTAAATTACAAAAAAAAGAAAAATCTCCGATGAATGAACATGAGGAGAACCTAGCTGCCGTTGGGCACCCAGAAAAGAACATTCATGATTATTCTCTATATTCAGATTGGTTGGCATCTAGTTACCATGCTGATGATAATGGCTCCGTTATTTTGGGAATTGGAAGTGGGCCATCATCCCTACTAGTATTGTTTTTGAGCACATGTTTTCAACTTCATCATTTCCATTTGTAGTCATATAGATGTTCATACTGCAGTACATCGGTTTTTCTACTCTAGAGTTTAAAGGACACATTAGTGAAGCATCATTCCACTTGCTGTTATCTGATCTACAATTAGATGGCAGTGATAAGAAATTGATAGTATGAATCTGCTGTTTGAATTGCATGGTAGAAGATTCAAATCACAGTGCAATCATGTCAGTGGTGGTGGTGGGTTGATTTACCTTTGAGCATGTTATGCATCACAACGATTTAGTTGGTTACATAGTGGAAGATGTAGAACTACTACCGTTTGCATAAGAAGTAGTGCCTGTTGTGGCCATGAGATCAGCCCTTTTTAGCAATTGCGACACCAGAATGGCCCATCATGTGGCGTCCTTGTCACTGGTTCGGTTCGTTTGTTAGGGTGAAAGCTATTTACTTCCATCTTTTGTATTTTGTTTAGAGAATTCAATCCGTTACCTGCATCTTAAAACAGTGTATAGAATTGATCTTGTTACTACTATTTGTTTTCATGAGATATGAAGTACTAAAAAAATGCTGTTGTTATTTCCTGCTGAATAAATAAGCTGCATCCCTTCCCATTTGAAAAATAGGAGACTAACACAAGGCTAACAAGTCAATGACAAATCTACTCTTATCTTGGTGACCTTCCCACCCAAAAATAAGTTCTGGGTGGACCTAAACAAAGTTTAGGAACATCATCACATGCCATCTGGTTCTGATTAGGTCATAGCGCTCACAGGCAAGATAAGTGGTACGATTAATTGTTTGTTTTTGCTAGGTCCCTCCGTGGTCACCATAACTTGACACTACCCCTTGCAAGTTGTGGCTGTTGGCGGCGACAAAACTATTTGTGGAAAAGCTTTTGCATGATTTAGTCTTGTAGCTGTATCTGCTGTTATAGCCTGGCAACTTTGTCATGCAACTCTTCAACATGGGTGTTAAGGCGTGCAGTCAATATGTTTAATACCCAATACTAACTTAACAAAAAAGAACATTTTCTTTTGACTGGTATTTGAATCTATGTGGAGGATAGCAGAAAAACATTTTGCACTTGTTTTGAAAATCCAAGCATGTACAGTTTGAGCTAAATGTTTCTGTCCTTCCAGCATTGCTCTTTCTTTGATGGATCTCCCTTGAAAAGAAGAGCAGCCAAGTAAAATTTGGAAATGTTTTTGTCCTTTTTGTTCAAATTTCAGGTTGTGAAAGCAATTGAGAAAGCAATACCCATTCCGCGAGGGCTATCTGTTGCTGAGAATCACCCCGCAAGGGAGGAGCTGAAGGCCATGGAGGCCCAGAAGGTAGACATCGACCGCATGGCGACGCGCCAGGTGCGGCGGGAGCTGTGGGGAGGGCTGGCTGCCCTAGCCCTCCAAACGGCCGGCTTCATGAGGCTCACATTCTGGGAGCTCTCCTGGGACGTCATGGAGCCCATCTGCTTCTTTGTGACGTCCACGTACTTCATGGCCGGCTACGCCTTCTTCCTCCGGACCAAGAGGGAGCCGTCGTTCGAGGGCTTCTTCCAGAGCCGTTTTGCGGTGAAGCAGAAGCGTCTGATGAAAGCCCGGGATTTTGATGTCCGCCGGTACAGCGAGCTCCGGCGAGCCTGTGGCCTCCCGTCCCTACATCCTCAGAGCCCCTGCGCGTCGTCGCAGGAGAGCCACCACCATTGTCTTTCTCACTGCCATTGTGATTGATGTGTTGCTTGGAATTTTTTATGCCCATTTGATGTGGCTGCTGCTGCTGCTTCATGTACCGTTGTGGAATGTGGATGCGAAGCATACTCATTGACGAGATCAGATTCAGATTGTTCGTTGTGAAATGCCTGTGTCCTGATGGATGGATGCATGTGAGCTGTGACTGTGAGGGTAGTAGACGAGAGAAGTCAGCGTGTACATACCGGCTGTAAACAATCTTTGGGAAGAAAAATGGAAAGGAAAAAAAATTGATCACAAACCAAGGAACTGTCATCCAGCTCCTGTGGCTCAACTTGTCCAAAATGCATGCTGGCAAGGGATCTTCAGCGATTATTCTCTTCAAGTAGGCAGGGTCATAATCCATGATAATATCTTTTATTTCTCATGGTTTGGTCTAGGCTTATTCTTTAGGAAAAATCAATGTGATCTTGAAGAATCAAGAGCATCAGAAAGGGCATCTTTCAACGGCTACGCCGCGGAAGGCACCAGGGCCGTCAGCATTTAAGATTTTTGTTATGGCCTGGTCTGTTTTTGGACTATGTCATGTCATGATGCAGATGCAGCCATCCCCACAAGTCTGGTGGGGTTTCTTTCATTTGATGCCTTCTGCTCGTGACCGTCCATTGCTATCTCCACCCACCCGGCTCTAGTTTTTAACTCGTCCCAGCAAACTAGTGGCTGGCACGGCAGCGGCACCACACAGGACCAGGGTACAGCGAACCAGCACGTACGACTGGTCCTTCCGTGGTTAACTCGCCATGCACATGCAGATGCAGGAACTAGTGGATGGCACGGCACCGCGCAGCCGGAAGCGAATTTTACACGCACAGCTGTACCAGTGGCGATTTTTTGTCGAAAAGGACCGGCTTACCAACGCAATTGACAAAAAGACCACATGCGGATGAATTTAACAAAAAAAACCACCCACGTTGTGGCGGCAGGCGCGCCAGCCGACACGTGGCACCTGCCGCCACGCCGGCAGGCGGCAGCCAGCCGATAACAGCCAGCACCGTGTAAGAACGGAACGGCGGGACGTAGGTGGGCCCTGCCGCCTTAGGGCGTGGCGGCAGGCCTGCATGGCCGCTGCTAGTGCTGCGAATGATGCATGCATCCATCACTGGCCAAACTTTGTCCAGCTAGGCATAGGCTAGCCAGAAATGCAACAAGAGAAACTACACTAGAGACCACATCACACAGCAAGTACGTACACGTGCGCCTCACTGCGTACACAAATATGCTTTGCTTCCCGTCGTGACAAACGAGCTCAGTGTCCTTTGTGCACCTAGTGTACTATAAGCAAGCTGTACGTGTGGGTTTATATGGGTCGCGCAGCGCAGTACCAGCAGCGGCCATGCAGGCCTGCCGCCACGCCCTAAGGCGGCAGGGCCCATCTGCTTCCCGTCGTTCCGTTCTGAAGCGGCGCTGGTTGTTATCGGCTGGCTGCCGCCTACCACCGGGGCGGCAGGTGCCACGCGTCGGCTGGCGCGCCTGCCGCCACAGCGTGGGTGGTCTTTTTTGTCAAATTCATCCGCACGTGGTCTTTTTTGTTAATTACGTTCGCAAATCGGTCCTTTTCGACAAAAAATCTACCAGTGGCAGCATGGACCCGTCAACGAAAGGAAAAAAAAAACTGCACCTGTAGCAATCTAGCAGTGCCGCGTTCGCGAACGAACAATCATAAAGCTGATGGCCAGCTTTCCAGCTTCCAGGAAAGGAACAGCGAACGAACGAACGAACGAGCTCCGCGGAGCGCGGGCCGCGCCGTGCCGTGCCGTGCCGGGTCACCGGAGCCGGAACGGGGGTCGTGGAATGGAATGGGCCGTGACGACGCGCACCCGCGCGGAAAGCGGCAGTTTCCTTCCGCACGCGGCGGGTGAGGCCCGCCACGTCGTGGAGGCAGGCGTGGCTGGCAGACCGGGCCGGTGCCGTCTCCCCCTCCCGCTGTAGACGCCGCGCCGCACGCCGTAAAGGATTCTATTCTGCTACTACTACTGTTTGACTGTTATCGCGCTCACGCACGGTACCCAGTTTCCCACCCACCCCACCGGCGACCGGGCGGCCCGTTCCTTGCCGCGCGCCGGCGCCTGCTTGGTAAGGGCATCTCCAGCCGTTGGCCCCTCAAAGGGCGCCTAAAATCGCCGCCTGAGAGTGAGCCCAGTGGCGGATCTAGGTCCCAGGCCGGGGAGGCCAGGCCCGGGGCGTGAGGCTCATTTGCTTTGTAAAATTCAGCAAAACACTGTAGCAATTGCTACAGTGCACAAAGGAGGCCCGGGGCGCTGGGCTGGGCTGGATCCGCCCCTGGGTGAGCCGGCGTAAAAATTGGGCCTGGGACGAGTTGGTCCCCAGCCACCGGCCTCAGGGCCGCCCCAGGCACGTTTTAAAATAAAAGAAGTTCGGCGAAGTTCGGCTTAAACATGATAAAATTCGGTCAAACACGAAAAATTTCGGTCAAACATGATAAATTTCGGCACATTTCGGTGAAGTTCGCGGATTTTTATTACATAGCACATATACATAAACTAATCTAAAGGAAAAACTGGCTGAAGTCGCCGCCGTCGTCGCCATCGTCGTCGTCGACCTTCTCCTCCTTGACGCTGGCGCCCCTGCTGGACTCCTGCCCGGCGTCGCCATGGCGGACTGGTGGCGGCGCATCGTCGTCGTCGCTGTCGCAGATGACGACGACCCCGCCTTCGTCGCGGCCGCGTCGACGTTCCGCGAAGCGAAGCAGGGCGGCGCGCTGGCGCTCCTTCGCCTTCTCCAGGCGTTCCTTCTCCATCGCTATGGAGTCCCTGCGCGCCCATTCCAGGGCCACGTCGTCGTCGTCGAGCTCCGTCGTCACCGGCTCGGCCGGCTCCTTCTTCACCGGCGCGAGCCCCGGCTCCGTCTTCACCGGCGCGAGCCCCGGCTCCGTCTTTGGCTTGACGAAGCGCGGAGGAGGAGCCGACGAGGAGGCGCGCCGGCCGCCCTCGTTGATGACGATGCCGGCGCTGCGAGTGCGCCGGCCTAGCGGCGTCTCCGCCGCGGGCTCGGCCTTGACGCCGAGCAGGGCCGGAGTGCCGGAGGAGTGCGATGAAAATCGGGAGGAGGAAGAAGAGGATGAGGACCCGAACCTCCTTGGCGCCCATGGCCTGGCGCGTTGGTGCTGCGCCGGGGCGGCCGCCCTCGCTGGGTACGCCAACGGCGGGTCGTTGCCGCCCTCGAGGTACGTCAGCATGCCCTCGAGTGTGTGGCCGGGAACGCCCCATCACAGGTGGCGCCCCTCGCTGTTCTGCCGGCCGCCAACCACCGGCGCGCCGTTGATGGACGCCAAGCGCTGCTGCTGGCGGCGCTCGAAATACGCTGCCCAAGCCGCGTGGTTGTCGGCGGCGTACTGGGGGAGGGAGAGTTGGGCGTTGGTGAGGGAGGCGCGCACGACCTCGACTTCCTCGGCGAAGTACGTCGGCTTCGCCACGTCGTCGGGCAACGGGGGAATGGGCACTCCCCCGGCGCTGAGCCTCCACCCCGTCGGCCCGGCGCACATGTCCGGCAGCGCCGGGATGTTCGCATGGAACAGGAGCCAGGACTCCTATTCGCGGAGCGAACGGCGGCCGAAGCCGTTGGCCGCCGCCTCGTCTCCGGGGTAGCGTTCCTCCATGGCGACGGGCTCGGGAGAGGTAGTGAGATAGAGGGAGGGGCTGGGCGGCGGCGCTCGGGGAAGGTAGGGAGAGGGAGGAGCTGGGCGGCGGCGAGGGGCGGGGCTGGTGTGGGCACAGGCGAGTGCAGGCCACCGGCTATATAGCCGCGCCGCACCCGTGTGTACGCGTGCGAGGGAGGGAAGGCGTCGGCGCGCCGTCCCGTGACACGCCGCCCATGAGAAATCAATGGCAAGGCTGACCGGCGGCAGCCTTGGCATTGATTCCCCGCGGGAACCGAGGCCGTTGGGGGAAGACGAGGCGCCGTGTCGCTGACGCGGCGGGCCCGTGGCTGTTTCGCGCCAAAACAGTTCGCCCCGGCGCTCCCGGGCGCACCCAGCGCGCCGGGTTCGGCCTGGGTCCGCCGGCACTGTTTTCGGCCCAGGCCAGCGAAAATCGGGTTCCTGAAGATGCGATTGAGCCGTTTTTTTGACAGCGACGCGAAAAAATCGCCTGAGGAGGCTTTCCTGAAGACGGGGCTAGAGATACCCTAATATCCCGGCACCGGCACGCGCGATGCGACCGAAGCGTGCCGTCGTGGCCCAGAGTTATGTGGGGTGACAAGGCCGCCGACTCAGAGGACAGTGCGGTGTGGCGTGGATCTATTGATGACACCGACTCGATCCTTCCGCGATGCCTGTGGCTGTGGATAGAAGAACATCGACGATGAGTTGGGAACCACCACGTTTCATGCTTATATATCAGATATCAAATTTTCTTCTGCGACCTACTTCCTCCGTCTACGAGTGTTTTTGACACTAGTGTAATGTCAAAAATGCTCTTATATTATCAGGCGGAGAGAGTGATTTTCTAGGGACGGTGGGAGTAGAGGGGAGCGTCGAGCCAAACTTCTGAACTTCTTGGAAGCCAGACGGTGACACACTCACTCATGGAGTTATGGGGACATGGCATCTCGATCTGCTTCATACTCTGATTGGTATATATTCCGGTCGCGCTGTTGTGGACCGCTCAATCTGTCCATAGTTGGAGTGATCCAATGCTAGACAGGCACCACTACACCTTAGCGTCCCCCGTCCCAGTTGCTATAGCTCTAGCTCGCAAGATTACTGTTATATAATACAGCCAAATTAAATTTTCTATTTCCCTTAATTTTTTAGGAAAATTTACCTAGCAGATCAAATAGCCCAAATGATGTCGCCCATGGGCCATGGGTGAAAACCCGAACTGCACACTCATGGTTTGGAAAAAGAGCCCAAATGACGTCGCCCATGGGCCATGGGTAAAAACCCGAACTGCACACTCATGGTTTGGAAAAAGAGCCCAAATGATGTCGCCCATGGGCCATGGGTGAAAACCCGAACTGCACAC